CGGTGAATCCGATCTACATCAAGACTCACCAGCAGCCAGCAGACTTCCTCACCAAGAGGCTTGCGGATGAGTCTCATTGGCGTTGTGTGCGCATGAGTGGAATGAGCATGAACTAGTATGGAATGATGGGGATGCAGCCGGCAGGCTGAGGGGGAGTGTGTTGGGTGCAAATTCACATTGCACGACATCCTGCCGTCTGTTTGTACGAGTATGCGTGTGCGAATGCATTTGCGTGTGAATGGTATGCTTGTGTGTTTGTTTGCTTTCGCAATTTTCGCTTGAAGCATTTGCAGGTACTCGCAAAATGTGCGCTTCGGCATAACATTGTACGCGCTATGAACAGTACAAGCAGAAAGGACGAGCTCGCAAAGGAACCCAAGATGGAAGCTTTGCGGTTCAACTTACTTGATTGCGCAGATTCAGTTCTATCCAACTCGAAATTGTACTGTTTTGTTTGGTTGACTATAGTGTAGCAGGGCAGGCACTATAGGGGTACAATTTAGGTAAAGGTTGGATGTTGTTTGTCTGTATCTGCATGCTACAGGGCCAGGGGAAACCAGCGGAACCAGCATTTGGCTGGTTGGGCAAAGACAAAACAGGTTCTGTTTTTAGGACCTGAACCTGGTTGTTGTTTTCCCAGGTTGGAAAAACAGAACCAGAGGTTGTTCACCAACCTATCACCTGCTATTTTGTCCAGCCAGGTTGGTTCTGTTGCTTGGAATTATTTGGGATGATCCCTGGTTGTTCTCAGGTTCATTCCCAAGGTCCTTGCTAGCTAGAGCTATTTATTCCTTCTCTGTTTGTACCTGAATATAGTGAAATTGATTCAGGCGAATTCCTTCCTTGCTGGAATTTCGTTTCTACGCGGTGCGACGGCGGAATGCTACCCGAGTCAACGCTAGTACGCTAGCACTCCAACGCTAGGCTAACGCTGTTCGAGCCATAACTTCGTAATGGCAGAACTTTTCGCGAGGCAACTTGGCTTATTTTAAAGCTCTTAGAGTGAGCTTCGATATAGGAAATTCTCAGCTTAATCCGATTGACGGTCTGCACGATACGCTGCGCAACGTTCAAGGTACTCTTGCTGTTTTGACTAAGTCCCTCTTGATCCCTCTCTCTACAAACTCGGACCCGAGGATAGGGGCTGGTCTTGTACCAGGCACCCAAGGACCCTTGGAGGTGACCCCGAGGAGAGGTTTTAAGTGTGATAAAGTCTTAATAGCTTGAGTTTATTAGGCCCTTACACCAACACTTCCTTGCTGGAATTTCGTTTCTACGCGGTGCGACGGCGGAATGCTACCCGAGTCAACGCTAGTACGCTAGCACTCCAACGCTAGGCTAGCGCTGTCCGAGCCATAACTTCGTAATGGCAGAACTTTTCGCGAGGCAACTTGGCTTATTTTAAAGCTCTTAGAGTGAGCTTCGATATAGGAAATTCTCAGCTTAATCCGATCGACGGTCTGCACGATACGCTGCGCGACGTTCAAGGTACTCTTGCTGTTTTGACTAAGTCCCTCTTGATCCCTCTCTCTACAAACTCGGACCCGAGGATAGGGGCTGGTCTTGTACCAGGCACCCAAGGACCCTTGGAGGTGACCCCGAGGAGAGGTTTTAAGTGTGATAAAGTCTTAATAGCTTGAGTTTATTAGGCCCTTACACCAACACTTGGCAAGTGCAGCACACCAACAGTGAGGACTTGACAGCTGGCTGTACTGGTGCACGCACCTTTGCCACAGAAGCTGATGAAGCAGATGCGGTGGAGGAGGCGGTCTCTAGTGCATTAGCAGCTGCCGGTGCGGCCCCTTACTGTTCACTTCTGATCGAGATCGATGAATCGGATCCACACAACGACGTGAACAGTGAAGCCTACTACGAGTTCGCTGATAACGTGGCAACTATGAATGGATGGGCCGTGGTTTCTTCTTTGATTATGAAGCCGGTGATGAAGCTGCTACTACCGAAACAGAGTTGCATACTCGCTATCGACAGACTGGCTTACAGATATTGGGTTTTGTAGTTGCAGTACAGAATCCTACCATTCCTATCGAACCGAAAAACACCGAATAGGCACTAAAGGGGCCTCACAAGGAGAAATGGCATGAAGCAATGAATAATGCGCTAAAGGCGATACACGATATTAATACCTGGGAATTTATCCCAAATTTGACGGTCACCGGAGAGAATGTCATTTTCGGCAAGTAGGCGTTTTGCATTAAGATAGATGCACACGGCAGGATCGAGCGCTTCAAGGCTCGTTCGGTTCTTCAAGGGCGATCAAATCCACGGCGTCGATTACGACGTGATTGTTTCTCATATTAGTTGCAGACATTGCTACGCATCTTGCTCGCCTTTGCAGCTGCATTGGGTCTCAAGCTACGACAGATTGACGTCGTTACAGCTTTCCTCCATGTGCTCGTTGATACCCCCAATCTCGTCCAGCAGCCGCACTGTTGCGTCCCTACTCTCGTCTGCAAGCTCAACAAATCCCTTTGTGGGATTAAGCAAGCACCCCGTCTCTAGCAGCATTATCTCATTCGACTCATTCGACTCGGTTTTCGTCAGCTTTTGCACGACCATGGGATGTATTGCCTTGACCGTGATGGCACGTTCATGCTTCTCAGCTACGTCAACGATTTACCTTACGTTGGTACCACCGTGACGATTCTATCCTACTTTGAAGGGGAGCGTCAACCTCGTCTTACGCTGACAATCTCTACCAATGTTGCTTAGTATCTTGGTCTCAACATCACCGAGACGTCTACGTTTATTCACCTTTTGGTCGAGAAATGTGCGGAGAAGCTTCATAACCAATATCCTCTGCCATCAACGACCGTTTCGACTCCGTTCCGCTCTACTCTATCCGCTGACACGACGGTTCTTTCTCCTGACGGTATCAAGCACTAACAGCAGCTGTTTGGCAGTCTACTCTTCGCAGCTGTCACCTGTCATTCGGGCTTGTCTTACTCTGCTAGCTAGCTTGCTCAATATCTTAAGTGACCTAAAGGGGAGAAACTAAGGGAGTTGGAAGCCGAGGTCTCCTATTTCGTATCTACACGTATGATTGGTATGACTTATCATAAGTCGCCGCAGTCTACACTTTCGCTACTCGGCTATGTAGATGCACATAACGCAAGTGATACTACAAACATGCGTTCATACATGGGATTTATATTCCGCCTTGAGCTTGTTGGCACTATCTCCTGGCAGTCGTGCAAGCAGGAGCTGATTGCATTTTTGCTAGCGGAAGGCTGAGTTCATCTCTGCCTGCACTGCAACAAAGGAAGGTCCCTAGCTTCGCGAGTTACTCAGTGGAGCAAAGTTACTGGGCATGTCTCAGTTTGAACTCTTTTGCAACAACCAGTCCGCAATTCGCATCGCGAACAAGTCTGGCTTCGCCAACCGAACTAAGCACATTTCGCTGCGTTAATTTTTCGTCAAGGACGAAATCGAGCAAGGAAAGTTACAGCTCACCTACTGCCCCGTGAGCGAAATGGCCGTGGACTTCTTGACCAGACGATTGCCGCGCCCGAAGTTCCAGTATGTATGCTGATGACTGGACTCGGCCACGTCAACAACACTGATAACATCAAACTCCTGAATTGAAGGGAAGTGTTGGTTTTTATAGTAGTACTTAGCAATTCAGTAGTTTGATCGAGAGTTACTACGGTAGTATCGTAATATTATTATAGGTGAATGTCACTGTGGCTTCAGAGTCGACTTGATAAAACAGCCTGGTTAGTGAACACGTACATTATAAATAGGTACTTTTCTAGACTATATATTTCTTGTACTTTCTTATTATTAATATTCATTGTTCTCACAACTACTAGCACAGGAATTCCCGTCTTCTGCTGCATAATCTTTACAAGGACTATGTTGACGGGTAATGACCCCGCCCTTGCTTGGGCGAAGCCGACTTCGTGGTAAGGAGTGCTGGAGGCGCAGCCGGCTGCAGTCAATGGTCGACGCCGACTTGGGAGAGGAAGTCGACAGACTTGGTCGACTTCCGCGGCACCAATGTGAAGTCATCAATGTGAAGCTGGTAGCCGACTTCGACCGGGCGGTCGACGAAGGTGTTTGTCAACCTGGGGGCGCTGACTTGTGGGCGCTGGGGATATTACCTGGTCTACTTGGTTACCTGGTCGACGAAGTTCTGCGAGGGTGCGCGGAAGTCGCCAGGAGGTTTTGGCGAAGTCGACCTGCGTGTTGGTATCCCGAGGTCGACGTGGTGCATTTAGTGCAACTGACTGCACGTGGCCAACTTGGCGACTGCGTGGTGTGTGGGGCGAAGCACGACGTGCACGACCGTCGACTTGGTCAGGCGCATGTGCGCTATAGTCAACCGCGGTTGCAGCGTTGACAAGCTGCGCTGGTGTGGCACTGACACGTCGCCGTCTTGCAGTGTTGGCAAGCCACCTTCGAGCTGCGCTAGTAGGCCGCCGACTTGCCATGCTGGCAAGCCAACCGCGTGCTACGCTGGAGGTTGACCTGCCAGTATGCTAGGTTGCTAGGCCACTGATGTAGTCATTGTTGCCATTGTTTTTTGCATCATTGTGTATCCAACTTTTGCTAGTGAAACTCTTACCAATTCTCCCCGTGAATGCGCAAGTAGAGAGAACACAAGCAAAGCTATGATCATTAGCACCACTCGTGCTTTCCCCACGTAGTCCAACTCCCAATGCTCCGCTCCTGAGTGAGATCAGGGCGGACTTGGCTCTGCCTCTACTCTCTTCCGATTTGTCGATCTCTCGCTCCCCCTCATCCGCCCCTCCTTCGGCAGTTTCTGCCCTCTTTGCTGCTTCTGGCGCTACGCCAATCTCAACCTCCATGGGCGGCATGGGCTCCATGGGTTCCAACCCTAGAAAGCCTGTCTCGATAGTGGATATACGCGAGGATGAACCGCGGAGGATTCGCCATTAGAAGTGGCACCGCTGTACGAGTCGCAGTTCTCCTACTTCAACCTGGTGGAGGGGACTAAGGGGTTCAGCAAGAAGCGGTGGATGCGGAAGAGGTACCTGGGGGAGGTGTATCAAGGCACGCTGGGCGCGGGGAGTGATGTGATGGTGGTGCAGCAGAGTGGGAGTGGCGAGGAGTGGGTGAATCAGACCGTTGCCGAGGCACTTGCCCAGATGAGGAGTGGGAGGGATGTAAAAAGGGGAGTTGAGAGTGGTGTTGGTCCTTGATGTCTGTTTTATAGCTCCTTCTTACCCCTTCTATGCTCCACATGCAGGTGCTCCATCGGACATGACTACAATGCAGCTCCTCACCTTTCTTCTGTGTCCCCACTCTCTACACCCCCCCTTGCCCTCACGCTGCCTCCCTCCAGGTGCACCATCCGGACCTGACAACAATGCTACGGTGCGGCATTGGCCTGGAATACAATGTCCTTGTATTCAAATACATCCCCTTCCCCTCGCTTCTCTCACCTCCTGCACACTGACGGTAAGTGTGGGTGTACCACGTGGTTGGGATGTGTGTTTTGGGTGCATGTGTTAAGCTCACACATGTCCTCTCCTCTGCATACCCGTGTACTTCCCTAGGAGGTGCGTGCTCGGATGGTGGAAGGCATGGCGAAGGGGCTGCACCTGTGCGTGAACTGTACTCACTCTTTCTTTTGCAAACACTCACCCCCTCGCCTTCCTTCGTGCAGACGAGGCGGTGCCAGTCCTCCCGTGGGAGGTGTGCATACGAGTCGTGGAGGGGGTAGTAGAGGGACTGCTGCATCTGCATTCCTTCTGTCACCCGCCCATCATGCACGGCCGTGTGAGCTTGCGTGCTGTCCTCATGGATCGCCACGTGGCGCCCAAACTCTCCAACTTTGGCATGCCCCACTTCACCCCACACACCCCTGCTTCCGCCGCTGCTAGTGCTGGTGGTGCGTGCTGGTGGTGCTAGTAGTGCTTCTGGTGCTGCTGGTAGTGCGGATGGTGGTGGGAGAAATGGGAATGGGGATGTAGAAGAGCGGTCTACAGAAGACAAGTACCTTGATGCGTGAGTGACCCTCAACAACCACAAATTTCGACAGGGAAAATTAAATATCCTCCACACCCATCCGTGTAGGTCAATTGCACACCCCATTAAATATCCTCTCCCTTACCTCTTCCCTTCCCTCCATTCTCTCCACATCGACCCCCCCATCAGCTATGCCGCTCCAGAGCGTCTTGCCTCCTCCCCCACCAAGCCCCGCAGCCCCTTTGCCTCCTCCTCCCCTCCAGCCGCTGCTACAGTCGTGACTGCTACAGCTGGCAAGGGGCAGGGGGGCATGGAGGCGGCAGACGTGTTTGCGTTCAAGGTGGTGGTGTTTGAAATCATCTTAGGGCAGCACCCACACTACCCACGCCGCATGCCAGCCTCGCTCGTTGAATGGGTGAGCTTCTGCTTGCCTCTTGCACATTTCTCCAACGCTTTGCAATAAGCCTTTCTCCTGCTCTTTCTTCTTCCCTACACTGTCCCCCCTCCTGCCCCCTCCACCTGCTCCTTTGCTCCATCCTTTTCCCTACTCCACCCTGCCTGTTCCTCCCCTCTCTGCCCCACATCTTCTCCCCTTGTTCCCTCATCCACCCACCCATTTCCCTCATAACCTCCCCTCTATCCGACCGCTCTCCTCCGTGGCCTGGCCTCTCCTCCCCTCTACACCACGTCCCAAACAGCAGGCACGGCAGAAGCTGTGGGTGGCGGGACAACCTGGCAGCGCTGGTGGACCCACAGCTTGCAGACGAGTTCAACCCTCACGAGGTGCGTTGCCTGTTGCCTTCTGCCTGCTGCCTCCACTCAGATGCCATTGAAACCCTTACCTCTTTTTTTCATTGCCAACGCACAGTGACTCAAATCAGCAAGAAATGGCATGCAAACTGTTAGCGTGGGCTTTGCACCTTTCCAAGTGGAGGGGTTGGCAGGGCTGGCTCTTGGGTGCACCCAATCAAATCCGTTTGTAAGAGATTTCGGATGTCTCAAACCCTTGCTCACCCCTTCCGCACCCTCCTCCCTCTTTCTCCAGGTGCACTCAGTGAATCCCGATTCCCGTCCAAGAGACCCACAATGGAACAGGTTAGTGGCAGCGGATTGTAGATGAATGTGCAATAGCGTGTCGAATTCCAGACACGGTTTTTTGCTCTAACCAACATGGCATTATGCATTTTATTTGCTCCATGTGCAGGTTGTAGAGACACTTGGGTCCCTCATACCATAGTTTGTACCATACATACATACTGCGATTGGTGGGTGGATGTTTTGTATTGTAAGAATGTCATGTTGTGTTACGTACTTTAGGGGATGCCATAGGTACTCAGATGGATAATGCATCATGTAGATATAACCAGAGGATTCAGTAGACAGGATAAGATCTCAGAAGTCTGGGAGGAGACAGAAAAGCCTCTGTAGTGACCTTGTTGAATAATAATTGAAAGAAAACAAGATGATTGAAAGATAGGAGTACAAGGGATTAAATAGAAATCTAGCTAGCCATGTACTCTGAGGGGTACATTCGCTTATTAACTGTATGTATAGCTACAGTAACCGCGACTATTGCTATCATGGACAGTTACCATGTTGCAGTGAGTTAACTGTCGCGCGGTTGCTGGATCGTCAAAGGTCACGACCGTTGACTTCCTCAGACGGTTGACCTTCGGGTGACCCTCGACATTCCGCATGCTCTATATGAGCTATTGCGGTACCAGTACAGTGGAGCAGCTTCGGGAATGCTTTATATAACCTTTCGGTTGTTTCAACACTCCCCTTCATTCCTGAAGGTGGGCCACGTGGGATTTCTTGGCGATCCCGCAGAGGTCGGTGCAGCGTTGGTACTGTTGACGTGGCAGTTTCTTCGTCAGGAAATCAGCTGCCATGTCACCGGTCGGGCAGTACGTCAGCTTGACTTTCCCCTTGTCGATTTCATCCTTCACGAAGAAGTAGCGAAGGGCGATGTGCTTGGTGCGGTTGACGAAGCCGGGCTTGTTCGCAATCTTTATCGCGCTCTGATTGTCGCAGAGTAACGTGAAGTGCCCGTTCATCGTCACTTTCGCCTCCTGCAGGAGCTCCATCACGTACAGTCCTTCGCGAACAGCTGCACTGGCTGCGATGAATTCTGCTTCTGCTGACGAAAGAGCGATGAGTTCCTGTTTCTGGGAGTTCCAGGAGATGAGTCCCGCTGGTTGGAGTTGGAAAATGAATCCTGTGCGGGAGCGTTGGTTGTCGACATCTCCAGCGTGGTCGGCATCTACGTAGCCATGGAGTTGTAGAGTAGCGGTGAGATAAGCTTCGTAGGTGAGACCGACCTCGGGAGTGGAGATGAAGTACTGTAGTGCTCGGCGTAGATCCAGTAGGTTCTCCCCTTCAGGTCGCTTCAGGTACTGTGCGAGCTGGCTTGCGACGTAGGAGAGATCGGGCCGGCACGTGACGGCGGCGAACAGGAGACATCCCAACTGCTGCTGATAGAGACGATGGTTGTCGGGAGAGAGAGGTGTGGTGTCGGGCTTGTGGGTAGGAGGAGGAGTGCGATAAGGGGTGGTGAGGTTGATCGGTGCGATGGCGAATCGCTTTGCGAGTGTTTCGGCGTACTTGGCGGCGGAGAGGTGAATGGAGGATGCGGACTGAGTCACATTGAGGCCGAGAAACTGGGTGACATTGTGGTTTACTGTCACCTCCAGCTTCTCCTTGATATCAGCCTCAAACTGGTCCAGCAGCTCCGTGTCGTCGCCGGTGTAGAGGAGGTCGTCGACGTAGGCGACGAGGAGGATAAATTTCCCGCGTGATTCCCGCCTGTACATTCCAAGATCGTGCGGCAGTTGAGTGAAACCGAGCTCAAGGAGGATGGAATGGAGGTACTGCTGCCACAGACGAGGTGCCTGCTTGATTCCGTAGAGGGATTTTTGGAGGAGGCACACGGCGCCATCGTTTTCTTCGAATGCGTGCGGTTGCTCGACAAAGATGATGGCATCGACGGGAGTGTATAGGAAGGCGCTGCCGACGTCGATTTGCCGGAGCGGTCGCTGTTTGACGGCGGCGATGCAGATGAGAATGCGCACCGAGGTGTGGCAGCCGACTGGAGCGTAGGTGAGAGTGAAATCCACCAGGTATGTTTGCTCAAATCCCCGTACCACCCAACGCGCCTTGTACTTGTCGACCGAGCCGTCTGCGAGAGTTTTGATGCGGAAAACCCATTTTCCGTTGAGGATTTTTCTCCCCTTTGCCGATGACCGGGGGACCAGCTTCCAGGTGCCACGTTTCTTTAGAGACGCGATTTCGGCGGCCATGGCTGCTCTCCATTTGTCACTGTCGGGGCCAGACAGGGCTTGGCGGACGGTGGTTGGTTCCTTGGGCGAGTTGTGGCGAACAGCGATGGCGTGGCCGAGAACGCGGAGACCGTTTTCGTCAGTCTTTTCGTAGTGAAGTCGGTCGTAGTCGTGGAAGCTTGTAACTTCGACCACGTCGTCATCGCTGTCGTTGCCGAGGCAGAGGGTATCCTGCAACGTGTTGGGCAGTGGTAACTCGGCATCAGGTGATCAGCGTGCCTCAATGTTGTAGTTGTGAGCCTCGCGTGTTATGTCGTCAGGATTGGGTTGGTGTAGAGGTACGAATATCGGAGTCCCGAATTGGCTTGTGAGGGGGATGCTCGGAGCGGAGTCCATTGGGGTGACATCAGGTGCGTCTGCATCCTCGGCCAGGTCAGCTTCGTCATGTGACGTGGCGAAGCTGCGGTGGCCCTCGAAGAGCCTCTCGGGAAGTTTGTCGGCTTCCTGGTGCTCCTTAAAAAGGGGCAGAGTCAGCTTCTCGTAGAAGATGCAGTCACGTGATTTCGTCACCTCGTGTGTCGCGTAGTCCAGCACGATCCACGCCTTGAATTCCTTCTCGATCCCGAGGTGGATGCCCCATCGTGCCCGGTCAGCAATTTTTCCGGTTCTCGCAGTGTGGGGTCTGTACCGTACCATGCAGCCAAACACCCGAAGTAGGCGTGTATCTGCTTTTCTGCCCGTCCATGCCCGGTAGGGAGAGTTGTTGTTCTCGAGGCTTCGCGAGGACAGCAAGTTGTGCAGCCGAACAGCGTGATTCATCGCAAACAGCCAATATTTTGTTGGGATGGCCGACTGCTTCATCAGAGCCCTCATCCGCGTGGCGAGGCTTCTGTTTGTCCGTTCTGCTACTCCTTGCTGTTGGTGAGCGTAGGGCAGGGACACCAGGTGCTCAATCCCCTTCTGCTTGAGGAGCTCCTTGAACTCGTCTGAGAAGAACTCCAGGGCTCCGTCCGTCTGCCAGGTTTTGAGTTTGAGACCGGACTGTCGCTCAGCCCGCTTCATCCACGCAATGAAGCACTCGAAGGCCAGAGACCTGCTGTCGGTGTTGACGGCCCAGACGTAGCGAGTAGATGTGTCGATGAAAGTAAGTGTATACTCCTCCCCGTCGAGCCTTTCCTGGCTGAGCACCATAAAGTCGCTGTAAACCTTGTCCAGCGGCTTGTAGCGTTCATACCCTGGGGGCAAATGAGGGAACGGCTGGTGGTTGAGCGACGCGGTTGGGCAGACGATGCACGGCGGGTTAGGTGAGTCTGCGGTGAGGGAATCGTTTCGAAGAAGGAGGAGCGCGTCGTTGTCGAAGTCTCCGGCCTTGAGCGAGTTTTTGAGCGTGGCGTGGGAGGGATGGCCGAGCCGTTAGTGCCATGTTTCTGGATCCGCATGGTAACCGACCGTCTTCTGATAATATTTTTGTCGCGCTGCTTCGTCGTTTCCCTCCCCTTCAGGTCCTGCGTTGGCGGCGTTGTCGGTATCGGCGGCGAGCGCGCAAATTGCTTTTCGCTCCAGAAGCGCGCGGGGAATCCCGATGATGTCGTCGGTGTCGCCGACTTCGACTTGGTCTCCGGTAACGAGCATGCAGTGGTTGGGCCTCTCTCGAACTGGGAGTCCCGTAATGGGGATTCTGAAGTAGCTGTATTCAGCGCCGATGACCTCAATTTCTTGTGGTCCTTGAACTGGCGGCTCCGGCTCCTCAGTAGGTTCGGGCAACTCCGTTGGTTCTCCCATAAATTCGTAGGTCTCCTCTGTTGGTGTAAGGGCCTAATAAACTCAAGCTATTAAGACTTTATCACACTTAAAACCTCTCCTCGGGGTCACCTCCAAGGGTCCTTGGGTGCCTGGTACAAGACCAGCCCCTATCCTCGGGTCCGAGTTTGTAGAGAGAGGGATCAAGAGGGACTTAGTCAAAGCAGCAAGAGTACCTTGAACGTTGCGCAGCGTATCGTGCAGACCGTCGATCGGATTAAGCTGAGAATTTCCTATATCGAAGCTCACTCTAAGAGCTTTAAAATAAGCCAAGTTGCCTCGCGAAAAGTTCTGCCATTACGAAGTTATGGCTCGGACAGCGTTAGCCTAGCGTTGGAGTGCTAGCGTACTAGCGTTGACTCGGGTAGCGTTCCGCCATCGCACCGCGTAGAAAAGAAATTCCAGCAAGGAAGGAATTCGCTTGAATCAATTTCACTATATTCAGGTACAAACAGAGAAGGAATAAATAGCTCTAGCTAGCAAGGACCTTGGGAATCAACCTGGGAACAACCAGGGATGATCCCAAATAATTCCAAGCAACAGAACCAACCTGGCTGAACAAAATAGCAGGTGATAGGTTGGTGAACAACCTCTGGTTCTGTTTTTCCAACCTGGGAAAACAACAACCAGGTTCAGGTCCTAAAAACAGAACCTGTTTTGTCTTTGCCCAACCAGCCAAATGCTGGTTCCGCTGGTTTCCCCTGGCCCTGTAGCATGCAGATACAGACAAACAACATCCAACCTTCACCTAAATTGTACCCCTATAGTGCCTGCCCTGCTACACTATAGTCAACCAAACAAAACAGTACAATTTCGAGTTGGATAGAACTGAATCTGCGCAATCAAGTAAGTTGAACCGCAAAGCTTCCATCTTGGGTTCCTTTGCGAGCTCGTCCTTTCTGCTTGTACTGTTCATAGCGCGTACAATGTTATGCCGAAGCGCACATTTTGCGAGTACCTGCAAATGCTTCAAGCGAAAATTGCGAAAGCAAACAAACACACAAACATACCATTCACACGCAAATGCATTCGCACACGCATA